TACCTGACAAAATACTGCACAGTACCTGACACATACAGCACAGTACCTGACACCATACTGCACAGTACCTGAACATACAGCACAGTACCTGACACATACTGCACAGTACCTGACACATACAGCACAGTACCTGACACATACAGCACAGTACTGAAACATACTGCACAGTACCTGACACATACAGCACAGTACCTGACACATACAGCACAGTACCTGACACATACAGCACAGTACCTGACACATACAGCACAGTACCTGACACATACTGCACAGTACCTGACACATACAGCACAGTACCTGACACATACTGCACAGTACCTGACACATACAGCACAGTACCTGACACATACTGCACAGTACCTGACACATACAGCACAGTACCTGACACATACTGCACAGTACCTGACACATACAGCACAGTACCTGACACATACTGCACAGTACCTGACACATACTGCACAGTACCTGACACATACTGCACAGTACCTGACACATACTGCACAGTACCTGACACATACTGCACAGTACCTGACACATACTGCACAGTACCTGACACATACTGCACAGTACCTGACACATACTGCACAGTACCTGACACATACTGCACAGTACCTGACACATACTGCACAGTACCTGACACATACAGCACAGTACCTGACCCATACTGCACAGTACCTGACACATACTGCACAGTACCTGACACATGCTGCACAGTACCTGACACATGCTGCACAGTACCTGACACATACTGCACAGTACCTGACACATACTGCACAGTACCTGATACATACTGCACAGTACCTGACACATACTGCACAGTACCTGACACATATTGCACAGTACCTGACACATACAACACAGTACCTGACACATACTGCACAGTACCTGACACATACAGCACAGTACCTGACACATACTGCACAGTACCTGACATACAGCACAGTACCTGACACATACTGCACAGTACCTGACACATACTGCACAGTACCTAACACATACTGCACAGTACCTGACACATACTGCACAGTACTCAAAACACTGTCAAGACAGCTGGCATTGTCAAGTACGCGATAAACTACCCAGTACCCGATACAATACCCAGTAGCCGATACAATACCCAGCACCAAATACAGTACCCAGTTCTTGATACAGTACCCAGTACCCGATACACTAGCCAGTACCCGATACAGTACCCTGTACCCGATACACTAGCCAGTACCCGATACAGTACCCAATACAGTACCCAGTACCCGATACACTAGCCAGTACCCGATACAATACCCAGTACCCAATACAATACCCAGTACCCGATACAATACCCAGTACCCGATACAATACCCAGTACCCGATACACTAGCCAGTACCCGATACAGTACCCAATACAGTACCCAGTACCCGATACACTAGCCAGTACCCGATACAATACCCAGTACCCAATACAATACCCAGTACCCGATACACTAGCCAGTACCCAATACAGTACCCAGTACCCGATACAGTACCCAGTACCCAATACAGTACCCAGTACCCGATACAGTACCCAATACAGTACCCAGTAGTCGATACAACACAATACAGTGGACAATAAAGAGGAACGCGAACAAGTTAAGACTGTGTCGAGAGGCTTGACCTTGCAGACTTGGCAGCCACACTGAGTGGGACACCCGCCTCAACACTGCATATAAACACTGACTCAACACCTGGCCCGCCGACCAGTCAGGTATGGCAGGTATGAGAACACTGGTAGTGACAGGTCCTCATACTGCCCCGGGGTCGACGCCTCGGCCACACACACAGTAATTGATGTGTCAACACCGACACCTTGTTGAGTGGTTCATGAAGACGTTGAGGCCAGCTGACGTTGATGGTGTGCTGACGTTGTTGGTGAGCTGACGTTGTTGGTGAGCTGACGTTGTGGCCAGCTGACGTTGATAGTGTGCTGACGTTGTTGGTGAGCTGACGTTGTTGGTCAGCTGACGTTGTGGCCAGCTGACGTTGATGGTGTGCTGACGTTGTTGGCCAGCTGACGTTGTGGCCAGCTGACGTTGATGGTGAGCTGACGTTGAGGCCAGCTGACGTTGTTGGTCAGCTGACGTTGATGGTGTGCTGACGTTGTTGGTCAGCTGACGTTGTTGGTGAGCTGACGTTGTTGGTCAGCTGACGTTGTTGGTGAGCTGACGTTGTTGGTCAGCTGACGTTGTTGGTCAGCTGACGTTGATGGTGAGCTGACGTTGTTGGTGAGCTGACGTTGTGGGCCAGCTGACGTTGAGGGCCAGCTGACGTTGATGGTCAGCTGACGTTGTTGGTGAGCTGACGTTGTTGGTGAGCTGACGTTGTTGGTGAGCTGACGTTGTTGGTGAGCTGACGTTGAGGTCAGCTGACGTTGTGGCCAGCTGACGTTGTGGGCCAGCTGATGTTGAGGGCCAGCTGACGTTGTTGGTGAGCTGACGTTGTGGGCCAGCTGATGTTGAGGGCCAGCTGACGTTGTTGGTGAGCTGACGTTGTTGGTGAGCTGACGTTGTTGGTGAGCTGACGTTGTGGGTCAGTTGACGTTGTTGGTGAGCTGACGTTGTGGGCGAGCTGACGTTGTGGGCCAGCTGACGTTGTGGGCCAGCTGACGTTGTGGGTCAGCTGACGTTGTTGGTGAGCTGACGTTGTTGGTGAGCTGACGTTGTTGGTGAGCTGACGTTGTGGGCCAGCTGACGTTGTGGGCCAACTGACGTTGAGGGCCAGCTGACGTTGTGGGACAGCAGACGTTGTTGGTGAGCTGACGTTGAGGGCCAGCTGACGTTGTTGGTGAGCTGACGTTGTGGGCCAGCTGACGTTGAGGGCCAGCTGACGTTGTTGGTGAGCTGACGTTGTTGGTGAGCTGACGTTGTGGGCCAGCTGACGTTGAGGGCCAGCTGACGTTGTGGGCCAGCTGACGTTGAGGGCCAGCTGACGTTGTTGGTGAGCTGACGTTGTTGGTGAGCTGACGTTGTGGGCCAGCTGACGTTGAGGGCCAGCTGACGTTGTTGGTGAGCTGACGTTGTTGGTGAGCTGACGTTGTGGGCCAGCTGACGTTGAGGGCCAGCTGACGTTGTTGGTGAGCTGACGTTGTGGGCCAGCTGACGTTGAGGCCAGCTGACGTTGAGGGCCAGCTGACGTTGAGGGCCAGCTGACGTTGTTGGTGAGCTGACGTTGTTGGTGAGCTGACGTTGTGGGCCAGCTGACGTTGAGGGCCAGCTGACGTTGTTGGTGAGCTGACGTTGTTGGTGAGCTGACGTTGTTGGTGAGCTGACGTTGTTGGTGAGCTGACGTTGTTGGTGAGCTGACGTTGTGGGCCAGCTGACGTTGTTGGTGAGCTGACGTTGTGGGCCAGCTGACGTTGTTGGTGAGCTAACGTTGTTGGTGAGCTGACGTTGTTGGTGAGCTGACGTTGTTGGTGAGCTGACGTTGTTGGTGAGCTGACGTTGTTGGTGAGCTGACGTTGTGGGCCAGCTGACGTTGTGGGCCAGCTGACGTTGTTGGTGAGCTGACGTTGTGGGCCAGCTGATGTTGTGGGCCAGCTGACGTTGTGGGCCAGCTGACGTTGTGGGCCAGCTGATGTTGTGGGCCAGCTGACGTTGTGGGCCAGCTGATGTTGTGGGCCAGCTGACGTTGTGGGCCAGCTGACGTTGTGGGCCAGCTGACGTTGTTGGTGAGCTGACGTTGTGGGCCAGCTGATGTTGTGGGTCAGCTGACGTTGTGGGCGAGCTGACGTTGTGGGCGAGCTGACGTTGTGGGTGAGCTGACGTTGTGGGCGAGCTGACGTTGTGGGCGAGCTGACGTTGTGGGCCAGCTGACGTTGTGGGTGAGCTGACGTTGTGGGCGAGCTGACGTTGTGGGCGAGCTGACGTTGTGGGCGAGCTGACGTTGTGGGCCAGCTGACGTTGTGGGTGAGCTGACGTTGTGGGCGAGCTGACGTTGTGGGCGAGCTGACGTTGTGGGCGAGCTGACGTTGAGGGCCAGCTGACGTTGTTGGTGAGCTGACGTTGAGGGCCAGCTGACGTTGAGGGCCAGCTGACGTTGAGGGCCAGCTGACGTTGAGGGCCAGCTGACGTTGAGGGCCAGCTGACGTTTGCAGAAAAATTGCCGGGATTGATATATAAAGAGAACTTCTTAGGACCTGTACTGTACTAAATTAAAAATTACTGTATGTAAAATTAATACAACTAAAAGTCCCTAGCTAGGGTCATAAATCCCAGCCCCTCTGGTCGTAATGACAGACTGTGGGCTGTAAGGGGCAGGTGGGGTCCCTGAGGGTGATTGGAGAAGTTGATTGAAGATCTACAATCCATTTACAGACAATTCAACCCGTCAGCTTGTATTGTTAACACAAGGATAAGATTAAATAACTCAGTTCTATAACTGAACTCTGGTTCTGTTTAAGTCAAGGATGTAAACAATATACACAGTCCAACCTTAGCTCTATAATTACAACAGCCAATATTCACATACTAATAAACACAACAATTTGTATTATAGATGTGTCATCCCCTGGGACCTATCATCCCCTGGGACGTGTCATGCAACCCCTGGGACCTATCATCCCCTGGGACGTGTCATGCAACCCCTGGGACGTGTCATGCAACCCCTGGGACCTATCATCCCCTGGGACGTGTCATGCAACCCCTGGGGCCTATCATCCCCTGGGACGTGTCATCCCCTGGGACGTGTCATCCCCTGGGACCTATCATCCCCTGGGACCTATCAACCCCTGGGACCTATCGTCCCCTGGGACCTATCATCCCCTGGGACCTATCATCCCCTGGGACCTATAACTCCCCCCACAAGAGACAGTGGGTCACCAAAATAGCCCCTGACCTGGGCTGGAGTATTGACGGGCTGCTAATGACCTACCTTTAAGGCAGGGAGAGGCAGGAGGGTAGTGGTCCTGGGGCAGGAACCCTACCTTTAAGGCAGGGTGAGGCAGGAGGGTAGTGGTCCTGGGGCAAGAACCCTACCTTTAAGGCAGGGTGAGGCAGGAGGGTAAAGTGGAGGCAAGAAAGCAAGAGTAATGGCTTCTTGAAGGAGGCGGAGGAAAGGCTCAGGGAAATATGTTAGTGAGAGAGACGCTGTGCTTGCATGCTAAAATAAAGTGAAGGCTCTATGTATCATATGTATATGTCTATGTATATGTATTAGTGAAGAACTCTAATGTTTTACAGTTTTAGAAAACAACACCACAGGTGGTCTGGGAGACGAGAACAAGGAGATTATGAACACTCTTACAATTAATTTCCTACTACAGGAGGAGGAGGAGAAAAATATATAATTATATGCAAGAAATTATGTTAAGGATGGATGGCCTCGTAGCCTGATGGATAGCGCGCAGGACTCGTAATTCTGTGGCGCGGGTTCGATTCCCGCACGAGGCAGAAACAAATGGGCAAAGTTTCTTTCACCCTGAATGCCCCTGTTACCTAGCAGTAAAATAGGTACCTGGTGTTAGTCAGCTGTCACGGGCTGCTTCCTGGGGGTGGAGGCCTGGTCGAGGACCGGGCCGCGGGGACACTAAAGCCCCGAAATCATCTCAAGATAATCTCAAGAAGGATTTATATATTTATTACTTTATTATATGAATATGAAAATACAGTTTTGTACCCACTTTAATAATGACCAAAGGCCGAAGTGATCCCGAATTTGACAATATTGTTTATCTCTCACTAACGGAGATTACAGGGAAGAGTAAACAATGTCTCCTTTGTTGATAAACATTGTGATAAAGACCAGGTGGCTGATGGTAAACAAAGAACACACAAGTGTTTGCTGGAAACGATCAAACTATGCCATAAGTTGGGTAATGTCATCAACTAATACTCTGCCACTGTGCCCACACTACCATACCTTCCTGGTGTACCCTAAATCCAGGGGTAAACTGTCCCCACATTCCCTGGGGTAAACTGTCCCCACATTCCCTGGGGTAAACTGTCCCCACATTCCCTGGGGTAAACTGTCCCCACATTCTCTGGGGTAAACTGTCCCCACATTCCCTGGGGTAAACTGTCCCCACATTCCCTGGGGTAAACTGTCCCCACACCCCCGGGGTAAACTGTCCCCACACCCCCGGGGTAAACTGTCCCCACACCCCCGGGGTAAACTGTCCCCACACCCCCGGGGTAAACTGTCCCCACAGCCCCGGGGTAAACTGTCCCCACAGCCCCGGGGTTGGGTTGGAAGGTGGTAAACTAGTTGCATAGTTACCATTGTGAAGGCAGTATTCCCCCGAGGCGTGGTTAACGAGGCGTGGTAACGTTTGAGAGAACAAAGGTGTGAGGAAGGCACACGCTTCAGGGGTAGTCAACATGCTCGTCAACGGCCATAAGCAGTAGTAAACTCCGCCAATATTCACAAGTGGTGGGTAATTACCTAAGTGTAGTTACAGGACGAGAGCCACGCTCGTGGTGTCCCGTCTACCCAGCACTCTTTGGCATACAACAAATAACAAATGAGCGCCCTCCGCGGCTTTCCCGTCTGGAGTTCCACATAAGAAGAACATAAGAACAAAGGTAACTGCAGAAGGCCTATTGGCCCATACGAGGCAGCTCACACCAGTTGTTTGACAGTCGACACCGTCCAGAGGCGGGACCAAAGAGCCAAAGCTCATCTCTCCCGCAAGCACAATTAGACGAGTACACACATTGTCTGTTCATCAACTCAATTCGTAAAGTGTGTGTGTGTGTGGGGGGGGGGGGGGGAGGGAGGGGTGTGTGTGTGAGGTGTGTGTGTGTGAGGTGTGGGGTGTGTGTGTGTGTGTGTGTGTGTGTGTGTGTGTGTGTGTGTGTGTGTGTGTGTGTGTGTGTGTGTGTGTGTGTGTGTGTGTGTGTGTGTGTGTGTGTGTGAGGTGTGTGTGTGTGTGTGTGTGAGGTGTGTGTGTGTGTGTGAGGTGGTGTGTGTGTGTGTGTATGTGTGAGGTGTGTGTGTGTGTGAGGTGTGTGTGTGTGTGTGAGGTGTGTGTGTGTGTGTGTATGTGTGAGGTGTGTGTGTGTGTGTGTGTGTGTGTGAGGTGTGTGTGTGTGTGAGGTATGTGTGTGTGTGTGGGGGGGGGGGGAAGGGAGGTGTGTGTGTGTGAGGTGTGTGTGTGGGGGGGGGGGGAAGGGAGGTGTGTGTGTGTGAGGTGTGTGAGTGTGTGTGTGTGTGTGTGTGTATTCACTTAGTTGTGTTTACGGGGGTTGAGCTTTGCTCTTTCGGCCCGCCTCTCAACTGTCAATCAACTGTTTGCTAGCTATTTTTTTCCCACACCACACACACACACACCCCAGGAAGTAGCCCCTGACAGCTGACTAACTCCCAGGTACCTATTTACTGCTAGGTAACAGGGGGCATTCAGGGTGAAAGAAACTTTGCCCATTTGTTTCTGCCTGGTGCGGGAATCGAACCCGCGCCGCAGAATTATGAGTCCTGCGCGCTATCCACCAGGCTACCAGGCCTTACACACATTGTCTGTTCATCAACTCAATTCGTAAAGTGTGTGTGTGTGGGGGGGGGGAGGGAGGGGTGTGTGTGTGAGGTGTGTGTGTGTGAGGTGTGGGGTGTGTGTGTGTGTGTGTGTGTGTGTGTGTGTGTGTGTGTGTGTGTGTGTGTGTGTGTGTGTGTGTGTGTGTGTGTGTGTGTGTGTGTGTGTGAGGTGTGTGTGTGTGTGTGAGGTGTGTGTGTGTGTGTGTGTGTGTGTGTGTGTGTGTGTGTGTGTGTGTGTGTGTGTGTGTGTGTGTGTGTGTGTGTGTGTGTGTGTGTGTGTGTGTGTGTGAGGTGTGTGTGTGTGTGTGTGTGTGAGGTGTGCGTGTGTGTTTGTGTGTGTGTGTGTTGTGTGTGTGCGCGCGTGAAAGGGAGGTGTGTGTGTGTGAGGTGTGTGTGTGCGGGGGGGGAAGGGAGGTGTGTGTGTGTGAGGTGTGTGTGTGTGTGTGAGGTGTGTGTGTGTGTGTGTGTGAGGTGTGTGTGTGTGTGTGAGGTGTGTGTGTGTGTGTGAGGTGTGTGTGTGTGTGTGAGGTGTGTGTGTGTGTGTGTGTGTGAGGTGTGTGTGCGGGGGGGGGAAGGGAGGTGTGTGTGTGTGAGGTGTGTGTGTGTGTGTGAGGTGTGTGTGTGTGTGTGTGAGGTGTGTGTGTGTGTGTGAGGTGTGTGTGTGTGTGTGTGTGAGGTGTGTGTGTGTGTGAGGTGTGTGTGTGTGTGAGGTGTGTGTGTGTGTGAGGTGTGTGTGTGTGTGTGTGAGGTGTGTGTGTGTGTGTGAGGTGTGTGTGTGTGTGAGGTGTGTGTGTGTGTGTGTGTGTGTGTGAGGTGTGTGTGTGTGTGAGGTGTGTGTGTGTGTGTGAGGTGTGTGTGTGTGTGTGAGGTGTGTGTGTGTGTGTGTGTGAGGTGTGTGTGGTGTGTGTGTGTGTGTGTGTGTGTGTGTGTGTGTGTGTGTGTGTGTGTGTGTGTGTGTGTGTGTGTGTGTGTGTGTGTGTGTGTGTGTGTGTGAGGTGTGTGTGTGTGGGGGGGGGGAAGGGAGGTGTGTGTGTGTAATTACCTAAATGTAGTTACAGGATGAGAACTATATATTTTATCACCTCTCTTCTATTTTCTAGTTTTGGCATGTTTAACGCCTCTAGTCTCTCCTCGTAACTCTGGTTTTCAGTTCCGGAAGCCATTTTGTAGCATGCCGCTGCACCTTTTCCAGTTTCTATATATGCATCTTGAGATATGGGCACCATACAACTGCTGCATATTCCAGTTTTGGTCTCACAAAAGTCATGAACAGTTTCTTTAGTATTTCACCATCCATATAATTATAAGCAAGTCTGAAGTTGGAAAGCGACACACACGCTCCTCTCACAGTGTTCTTGATGTGTTCCTCTGGCTACACCTTACTGTGCAACACCACCCACCTAACTCTCCTTCTTTATTAGTTCTGTAATTCCTTTCCAAATGATTTGTAAGTTGTCTGTGATCTATTTTCTGCGATTCCACATTCTATAACATGGCATTTATTCACATTGAACTCCTTTTGCCACTTGACGTTCCAATCACTTATTTTATCTAGACCTTTTTGAAGGACATTACAATCGTCTGCGTCTCTTATCTTCCTCAGTATCTTAACATCATCAGCAAACATGTTCATATAATTCTGTATTCCTTCTGGTAGATGGTTTATGTAGACAATGAACATTACAGGTGCAAGAAGTGAACCTTGTGGTACTCCGCTAGTATCACTCCAACAGAGTCAGATACATTGTCTCAAATTACTGTCCTCATCTGTCTGTCAGTTAGAATTTTTTTTATCTATGTCAGAAGTCTCCCTGTCACCCCTCTAGCATGTTCCAGCTTCCAGAACAGCCTCATGTGTGGGATTCTGTCAAAAGTCTTGTTTAGGTCCAGATGGACACACAACCACTTCTTTCCTGTAGTATCTCTGTGGCTCTATCATAACAGCTAAGTAGATTTGTTACACAGGATCTTCCTGTTCGAAGACCATACTGTCTGTTCGTTATTATGTCATTAATCTCTAGGCGTTCAACCCATTTGACTTTAACTATTTGTTCTATTGTTTTGACTACCACAATTGTTAATGACACGGATCTATAATTTAGGGGTTCCTCTCGACTACCATTTTTATAAATTGTTACTATGTTTGTCTGTTTCCATATATCTGCTAAGATTCCTGTGCACAAGGATGTCTGGAATATTAATTGGAGTGGCATGCTCAGCTCAGTTGCACATTCTCGCAGCACCCAAGCTGAAACTCCATCAGGTCCAACTGCTTTATTTCTTTCTAACCCCTTGAGTTATTTTTCCACTTCGTCTTGTGATACCTCTATGTATTCTATTCTTTGGCTCTGGAATTGGTATTTGGTCCGGCTCTCTAAACTCCTCATTTTATACAAACACACTTTGGAATTGTTCATTTAGCATTTCACGCATTTCTTTTTCATACTCAGTAGTCCTGTTCCCCGTTCTCAGTCTCGAGTTTATCTTTCACATGTATCTTGCTTTTAATTAATTTATAGAA